TACCGGGATGCCATGGAGCAGTGCCACAGCTACAACGCCCGGCTCTGCGCCGAGCGCAGCGTCCGCCTGCCCTTCCTCGACTCCCAGACCGGCGTCGCCCAGAGCAACTGCTACATCTGGATGGAGAAACGGCACCGCGGGCCCGGTACGGGAATGGCACCGGGAATGTTGACGGGGACAGCGGGAACACAGCGGGAATATGGATGGGGACAGTGGGAACACAGCAGGAATACAACGGGAATACAGCTGGGGACAATGGGAACACAATGGGAATACGGCCGGAGACAACGGGAACACAGTGGGAGAACAATGGGAATACAGCGGGAATATGGCAGGAATACAGCTGGGGACAACGGGAACACAACGGGAATATGGATGGGGACAACGGGAACACAGTGGGAACACAGCGGGAATGCAACTGGGGACAACAGGAACACAGTGGGAAAACAACGGGAATACAGTGGGAATACAACTGGGGACAGTGGGAGAACAAGGGAACACACCCGGAATATAGTGGGAATACAACCAGGGACAACAGGAACACAGTGGGAGAACAATGGGAATACAGCGGGAATACAGCTGGGGGACAACGGGAACACAGTGGGAGAACAACGGGAATACAGTGGGAATACAGCCAGGGGACAATGGGAGAGCAATGGGAATACAGCGGGAATACAGCCAGGGACAACAGGAACATAGTGGGAGAACAATGGGAACACACCGGGAATACAGCGGGAATACAGCCGGGGACAATGGGAACACAACGGGAGAGCAATGGGAGCACACTGGGAACAGTGGGAGAACAAGGGAATACAACAGGAATATGCCTGGGAAATAACGGGAACACCCAGGAAACACCAGGAACACAATGGGAACACATTGGGAATACAGCTGGGGACAACGGGAACGCTGGGAGAACAAGGGAACACAACAGGAATACAGCAGGAACACACCTGGGAACAACAGGAACACACCCAGGGAAACAACAGGAACAGACTGGGAATGCTGGGAGAACAAGGGAACACACTGGGAATACGCCTGGGAAATAGTGGGAACACCCAAGGAACACCGGGAATGCGGCAGGAAGGGGACACGGGGGGGAGGAAGTGTCACCCCTTGGGATAATTTTGGGGTGTTTTGTCCCCTCCTGGAGCAGTTTTGGGTTGTTCTGTTCCCCATCCCGGGGCTGTTTTGGGCTCATTCCCGTTGTTTTCCAGGCCTGGCCGCGGGACAGCTCTACTCGTACCCGGCGCGGCGCTGGAGGAAGAAACGCCGCGCCCACCCCCCCGAGGATCCACGGCTGGCATTCCCTTCCATCAAACCCGGTAATTCCTGACATTCCAGGGC